TAAAGGCAAGAAGTTGAAGAAAAAAAAGAAAAAAACAGAGCATTACATAGTGATGAACTTTGTACAAGTATTTAAGCTTAAATTCTAGCTGATTGGAAAACACACTGATGCGTAAGTATTGTGTGTGCATGAGGTGGCACTTCAGTTTAAGTATTTTAACTGCTTTCATTAGGAACTGCACTCAGATAAGTACCACAGTAGATAATGTAATACAACCAAATATTTCCAGCATCTTTTATACAAAAGCCACTTTAAAGGAACTTAAATACAATATTATTGCCAAAGTTTTGAATCTTATTAGAATGTATACTGTGTTCAATTATTAGCAAGTCAAATTCAAAAGCTTTTAAATAATCTAGGCCACTGACAGTGCAGTATGAGAAATACTCTCTTCCTTCTTTATAGTACTTTTCCTTATAAGTAATAGTCATAACTGCCACATTGGTTTTACCTGAAGACCAAAAAAAGCATTAATTAGCTGTTCCTCAGATAAACATCCAAACCATCCCGTAAGAATAGCTGGTCCTCATTATACAAGTGAGCTGATCAATAAGGGGGAAATCAGAGTTTGATAAATGAGCTTAAAAACTAGTTTGCAGATTTATTTCTGATGAGGGGCCAGCAATTCTATGCAGTACTTTAAAAATGCACCATTTTCCTTTTTAGTCAAGGGTTCTCTGTACAAATATACCTGATTTTCTTGCTTAATACTAGAAAGATGCTCTTGTAACCTGTCATTCTCCTGAGCTAATGAGTCTCTGTTCTTGTTAGCCTGCGCAAGTTCTTTGGTGGTTTCTTGTAGCTGTTGATCCAAAGTCGTAATATCTTTCTCACAGATACAAAGTGCTTCAGAAGATTTTCTATACAGCAAATAAAAAAATCCTTCAGGTATGACAATACTGCCCAACCTAATACAAATGATAGCTCTTCCATTGGTTAAGTTTGCAAATCATGCAACAAAGCTGTAACACTTTAATTTTTAATAAGTAAAAAATATTTATACATTAGCACATCCTATGATTCAGTTTTTGAGCTAATAAGTTATTCAAAATTTGATAATGGTCTTACAGTTCATCCTTACTTTATGGAACGCTCCAACTCAGAAATCAGAATCTTGAAATCTGCAATTATTTTCTCCTTGAAAAGAAATACAAAATTAAAATAAAACGTTTCCCACTCCTCAGTATAAAATGGAAAAAAATATAAAATAATATTATTTCTATTTCCTTTTATTCAGCTAGCTGATTAATTTAACTAGTGCAAAATGGACTGTGGTTCTCTAAGTTTCATCATGTATTGTTTAGAGCTGAAAATTCCAATCATCTAGTGTGGCAAATAAAGGAACAAATATTATCTTCTGCAGAGTATAATGGTCTTAATTAATTTTTTTAATCCTTTGTGATTGTAAAGGTAGCACTTGGCTCACACTCCCAAAACTAAATAATGCCTTCTGCCTATTAGATGTGTTATCACAACTTTTCTACAATGAATAAACTACCAAACTCTGGTAGTTTGCAAATGATAAAACAAGAATTCCATCACAAAGTTTATTACTTACTCCCTTGCCTTTGGATACAGATATTAAAAGAAACATAGACAGGCTAAGGAAATGTCTTCCACTGAAGACACAGGGGAGGTGAGACAGCCATCTCTTCTCTAAAATGGACACCATTTCACAATTTACAGCTCTAAAAATACGAAGTCAGTGCTTATGGAAATATGATTTTAGCCTGTCCTGCTATATCTTTTCTGACTTTATCAGCGCAAATTCTTGAGTTAACAGTTGAAACAGTTAATAATTGTTAATAATTACCTTCTTTATTTTATCCTAAATCAATATCCAGGTGACTTTAGCTGAAGTGAAAAATAATGTTTCAGAACTAAGAACTTACCAGCTTCATTACATAGTTTGAAATCACACTGTGCAATATACCTTAAGGTGAAGGGAATGTAATTCAGGTGCTTCTTCAGTGACAACAAAGGCAATATTATCTAGCACCCCGCATATTTAACATCAGTGGACCCCAAAGATGAATTTAGGCTAAATTTTATGATAAAATATTTATTGGCTAATTTACTCTTCTCCACTTCAGAAAAAAGGAATTGAAGTCTCTTCTCTTGATAAGCATAAACCATACAAAACACCAAATATGAGATGACCAACACTGCTCAAACCTACTGCTGTTGAAGTCAGTGTAAGTTTTATTGTTGTCTTGAAACTGGAGCAGAACTAGGTCAGCACTGAGCACTGTTGTAGATGACAATATAAGTGTGATGACTCAACAGATCCTTTACCCATTTACTTTTTGTGACTGTTTACATGTTAGAACATACTTTAGTTGCCAGGCTTTCCTCAAAAGTAGCAATCTTTTTTCTTCCTTCTTCCACACAGCCTTGCAAAGATGCCTTCTCTTTAGTGAGTTGCGCAACTGTTCCTTTCAAAGCACAGATCTCTTCTTGTTGTACAAGACTTTGTCTTGAAAAGTTACCTGGAAACAATCAGAAAGATCTCGTTTGTATTAATTCAACCCATTCGAAATAAAAATTCTTTTGGTACACTTCTAAAGTATAAAAGACCATGGCAATATCTCCCCTTCAAGAAAACACTGAAGCATGTACCTTTTAAAAATGCGCAAGTAATCCAACTGATATTAAATTACTTGGCTCAAAAAAAAAATCATCTATCTAAACAGCAAATTTTTAGGTCATTAAAAATAACTTTCTTGGATATTAATAAAGGCTTAAACAGAATTACTATAAGACAGAAGCAATATGCAGACTACAGCATACAGACTGATGAAGTAAGAGAGATTGATATCCTGATATTAGCTACTTTTTTCTTAAATAATATTTTTATTCATACAAACTTCATGTAAAAGTGAGAGTAATGCAATTATAAGTTTTAACACCACTTAAAATTGGAAAGATAATAATGAAAAAAGCAATCTACTCATTACAAAATCAATTCCAAAAGATGTCTCTCCCTGTCTTCATTCAGCTAATAAGGTGTTACACACTACATTTACCTTTAAATGGTTAGAGAATCAATCCTTATTTGATCTACATGCATTGCATTCACAGAGGAGAACTACTGAAACCCTTCTTACCGTGAACCTTACATCTCATAAAAATCATGCAGGCTGCAAATTACTTTTTAAATATCAGTGTAATCAGGCTCATTGAATGATACTTGTTAACCGCTTCCAGGAGATAAAACATCAGAAGTAAAATGATCTGTAGCTCAGCCTTTCAGGTACATCATAGCATATATTCACATTCTATTTTTTCCACAGAAGCTTTTCGTGTTTCAAAACACAAGATGAAATGCACTCAAATTTCCACCTTGTATTTTTGGATGTATGGCTCTGGAACCTGCTAAGAAGACAGTGTTCAAACCTAGCTCTAAAGAAAATTCTGATGGAGCAGCTAATCCTGGAAACCACTTCCAGGCACATTAAAGACAAGAAAATCATCAGTAGTAGTCAGCATGGCTTCACCCAGCAGAAGAGATCAATTGACAAATTTCTGTGATGAAATGACTGGCCTAGCAGATGAAGGGAGGGCAGTGGATGTTGTCTACCTTGAGTTCAGTAGGACTTCTGACACTCCCATAAGATACTCAGAGATGAGCTGTTGACATATGGGCTGTATGAGGAGACAGTGAGGTGGATTCAAAACTATCTGAACAGCCAGGCCCAGAGGTTGGTTATCAGTGGCACAAAGTCTAGTTGGCAGGTGGTCACTAGTGGTATGCCCCAGGTGTTAATGCTGGGTCCAGTCCTGTTTTACATCTTCATTGATGATCTCGATGATGGGACAGAGAGTACCATCAGGAATTTTGCTGATGACAGAAAATTGTGATGAGTGGCTGATACACTGAAGGGTCATACTGCCATCCAGAGGGACCTTGACATGCTGGAGAAACAGGCTGACAGGAATATCAAAGTTCAAAAAGGGAAGTGCAAAATCCTGCACCTGGGGAGGAAACAACCCCAGGCACCACTACACACTGGGGGCCACCCAGCTGGACAGCAGCTTGGCAGGAAACCTGGGAGTCCTGGTGGACACCAAATTGAACATGAGCCACCAATGTGCCCTGGGTGCAAATAAGATGAATAGTATCCTGGGCTCCATTAGGGAAAGTATTACCAGTTGGTCAAGGTAGTATCTGTACTCAGCTCTATGAGATACATCTGGAGTGATGGTTCCAGCTCTGGTCTCCCCAGTACAACATGGACATACTGGAGAGAGTCCAGCAAAGGACCATAAAGATGAACGAGGGACTGGAGCATCTTGCTTATGAGGAAAACCTGAGACAGCTGGAAGTGGTTAGCCTGGAGAAGGCTTAGGAGGGAGGTCTTATACATAAATACCTGACAGGAGAGTGCAAACAGAGCAGAGCTAGGCTCTTTTCAGCTCAGTGACTCATTGCATAAGCAATGGGCACAAACTGGAACACAGGAGGTTCCCTCTGAATATTAGGAAACACTTTATTTTTATCTCTGAGGTTGACCAAGCACTGGAACAGGTTGCCCAGGGAGGTTATGGAGTCTCCTTCCTTGGAGATATTCAAAAGTCATCTGGACAGGAGCAACTGGCTGTAGGTGGCCCTGCTTGTAAAGGGAGGTTAGACAAGGTGACCTTCAGAAGTGCCTTCCCAACCTCAACTATTCTGTGATTCTAAGCAAGGGTGTTGTCATGGTTTCAGCACAGCCACCAACCCAGAACCAAACAGCTGCTCGCTCATTACCCCTTTCCTTCCCCCGCTCCTGGAGGGATAGGGAGGAGAATCAAAAGAATGTAACTCCCATGGGTTGAGATAAGAACAGTCCAGTAACTAAGGTATAACACAAATCACTGCTGCTACCGCCAATAGTAATAATGATAAGGGAAATAACAAGGGAAGAGAATACAACTGCCCACCACCCACCAACCGATACCCAGCCCGACCCGAGCAGTGATCTAGCCCTTCCGGGTAACTGCCCCAGTTTATATACTGGGACGAGGTGGCTGAGTGGTGAAGGCGATGGACTGCTAATCCATTGTGCTTTGCCTGTGTGGGTTCGTATCCCATCCTCATCGCCAAACAAGCTCAAAGTCCAGTTGTAGGAGAACGTAGGGTAGTCAAGCTTCCAAGACTACAGACACATCCAAGTGAGGTGCTGCATGTGGCAGTCTGCCATTCTTTACTGGACATGACATGCTGTGGTATGGAATATCTCTTTGGCTAGTTTGGGTCAGGTGTCCCGTCTCTGCTTCCTCCCGGCTTCCCCTCCTCCCTGGTAGAGCATGAGACTCAGAAAGTCCTTGGTCAGAGTAAACATTACTGAGCAACAACTAAGAACATCGGTGTTATCAGCATTGTTTTCAGGCTGAGAGTCAAAACCACATCACAGCACCAGCTACTAAGGAGAAAAATGACTGCATCTGCTGAACCCAGGACAGGTGTGTTATCACCATTTTACAGAAAAGCAATGCAGGCTCTAAGATCAATTGAAAGCACTATGACTATTTTGGATGCCCAAACTGTGACCAACACTTTAAGGATAAAAAGTATTACATTTCAAAAAACCACAACTATGGACTGCTGTCACAGCTGTGAGTGCTCAGCATTCCTGAAAATGAATAACCAAAGTATCAAATCAGGCACTCCGAAAATAGGTCATATACATAGTTAGTGAGCAATTCTGAAAAGCTGAATGTGCATCACCCCAAAATTCTAATGTATAGACAGCAATATCATTAAATACTGCATTGTAGTATTTAACAGTTTAAACAGTATGTGCTTTCTCTTTCTGCAATTACCTGTTTTATTCACTGTATTCTCAGCTAAGGAGAAGATCTGACAGACAAGCTTGCTTCACTAGACAACACTGATTTACTCCCTACAAAATTCTGCAAAAGTTGGTGCAAAGGCTCCTATAGAAAAATACCACATGATAGCGTAATTAAAAACAGTACCATAAGTTAAAAACAAACAACCAAACACCCAAATTTGGGTTTATTTATTAAGTAGTACAGACAACCGTAAGACTCACACTCCAAACTTCTTAGTGTTTGTCTTGGAAATAAGTTACATGTGTGAAAAACAAAAAGCATAATTTGGATTCCTATTACGTGTCACATAGAAGACAACCATGGGGGGACTATACTGCTGTACACATTAATTTGCTGACAAAAGAAGGTGACACAGGACTGGAAATCCCTAGTTCCATTCCAGAGTCCAAAATGGGAGAATGTTCTCTAGTAGACACACACAATTTCTTTCCATCTTAGAACCATATTTTCCAATTCTACCTATCCAAGAAGATATTATTAGCTGCTCATGCTTTGTCTTCATTTTGGACAGCCCTAAGCCTTAAGGTTTCTCATCCTAAACTCCTTCCCTACTAATACAAGACTCCTAAAACCATGTTTTCCATCTCAAGCTCCTTTTTCTTCCAATCTTTCTCCTGCTTTCAGCATTATTGTTCAAGTTCTAAATATTTTGTATTGTTCAAGTCCTACATAGTCTGTGTGTATTCTACCCACAAGTTCTAATCACACTTTGTGTTCATAGCTCCAGGTCCTACCCAAAATCTCTGAATTAGTCATCCAACTGCGAAAATCTTTCCAGTCTCTCTACACACTTCATATTAGCTCTCCTTACTGGATGTCTCTGATCCTTCTTCACTCCTTCCCCTCACTTCATTAATTTGCAGTCTCTGACTTCCCGCATTGCCCCAGCTTTCCCTGGTGCCACATCTACACTCTGTTTTTCAATTTACTAACTTCCAGTCTCGCTGTTTCATACTTACAGTCTCTTGTGGCAACCAACCTTCCTTGCTGCAAATTCCTGTCTACCTCTGTCCTGGGTTCAGTCCAGGACAAGCCAATATCCCTATTCTTCACTTGTCTCCTGGCTCTTTAACTTCGCTTCACCTACCTATTTCACTAGAAATGCCTGGCAAAAGCTTGGCGCAGATTCTCCTGGAAGGCATGCTAAGGCACATGAAAACCAACAAGGTGCTTGGTGACAGCCAGCATGGCTTCACTAAGGGGAAATCCTGCCTGACCAATTTGGTGGCCTTCTGTGATGGGGCTACAGAACTGATGGACAGGGGTAGAGCAGTTGATGTCATCTACCTGGACTTGTGCAAAGCGTTCGACACTGTCCCACATGGCATCCTTGTCTCTAAATTGGAGAGACATCAACTTGATGGATGGACCACTCGGTGGATGAAGAACTGGCTGGATGGCCGCACACAAAGAGTTGTGGTCAATGGCTCAATGTCCACCTGGAGACCAGTAACGAGTGGTGTCCCTCAGGGATCGGTGTTGGGACCAGTCCTGTTCAACATCTTTGTCGCTGACATGGACAGTGGGATTGTGCCCTCAGCAAGTTTGCTGATGACATCAAGCTGTGTGGTTCAGCTGATACACTGGAGGGAAGGAATGCCATCCAGAGGGACCTCGACACGCTTGTGAGGTGGGCTGATGCCAACCTCATGAAGTTTGACCATGCCAAGTGCAAGGTCCTACAGCTGGGTCAGAGCAATCCCAGGCACAGCTACAGGTTGGGCAGAGAAGAGATTCAGAGCAGCCCTGCGGAGAAGGACTTGGGGGTGGTGCTTGATGAGAAAATGAACATGAGCAGGCAGTGTGTGCTCGCAGCCCAGAAAGCCAACCGTATCCTGGGCTGCATCAAAAGGAGTGTGACCAGCAGGTCAAAGGAGGTGATCCTGCCCCTCTACTCTGCTCTCGTGAGACCTCACCTGGAGTATTGTGTGCAGTTCTGGTGTCCTCAACATAAAAAGGACATGGAACTGTTGGAACAAGTCCAGAGAAGGGCCACGAGGATGATCAGGGGACTGGAGCACCTCCCGTATGAAGACAGGCTGAGGAAGTTGGGGCTGTTCAGCCTGGAGAAGAGAAGGCTGCGTGGAGACCTCATAGCAGCCTTCCAGTATCTGAAGGGGGTCTATAGGGATGCTGGGGATGGACTCTTCATTAGAGACTGTAGTGATAGGACAAGGGGTAACGGGTTAAAACTTAAACAGATTGGATATAAGGAGGACATTCTTTCCTGTTAGGGTGGTGAGGCACTGGAATGGGTTGCCCAGGGAGGTTGTGAATGCTCCATCCCTGGCAGTGTTCAAGGCCAGGTTGGACAAAGCCTTGGGTGTGATGGTTTAGTGTGAGGTGTCCCTGCCCATGGCAGGGGGTTTGGAACTAGATGATCTTAAGGTCCTTTCCAACCCTAACTATTCTATGATTCTATGATTATGTGGCCCTATCCAAATTTTAATCTCCATATCCTCTCCTTACTTATACTGCAGTTGAAACCTCCTCACTTTCTTTTCTCAGTACATTCTCTCCCCACACCTACACTGTAGTTCCACTCCTTCAGCATCTTCCACTGTTACTCCTGTAGTCACAGGATAACTGCACAATACAGACTCCATTAATTTCAAGATTCTTTGCCTGGACTTGCCTCACAGTAATGAAAAATGCTAATGAATCTAGATTAGAACATGCTTCAGACAGATTATGTGAGACCTCAGGTGACGAAATCTAAAAAGTCTCTATTCAGCTTTAATGAACTGATGTTTTAATTCTTTTTGGGGCTTAAAATACACCCAAACTCAGATGCATGCAATAAGACATAGACTGACATGCCTAACCAACACTAAGTCCCTACGTTACTGAACCACTATCGGGATAGAAGTATAGGACTTTTAAAACAAAATAATGTGGACAAAACATCCTTGCCTCTAGCCTTCTCAGGACTGGCTTAAACACCTTAACCAAAACACTAAAAAAAAACACAAATAAGTTCACTTTGAGTGGAATGTTCATCCCAAACAAAATATTTAAATTCAAATAACTTGAGTTTGAAATTTGTAATTAACAAAACCCACGATATTTAATAGCATCAGTCAGCTCTAACATTAGCTGTAATTAGCTATAGCTTAGCTTTGCTTTCCTTTCACAAATTCAGCACTGCATTTCAGAAAAATAATGTCAACTACACGTACAGAAAATAATAAAAGACTTCTAACACAATACCATTGTTATTTCGGAAGTAAGAACATATTCCCTGGCACTACAGGAACGATAATTCATGTATCCACCTCCTTTACTCCCATAATATAAAAAACATGCAACATACAATATCAGATATATACTAAAAAGGATGTTTTCTGGATTCCATTATCATTATCTTATGGTGCTGAGAGGTGCTACCACCTCCTTAGTGGATCATAAATCAAAATGATATGCCCATATACCAACATGCATCTTTCACTGACAAAATGCATTGTCACTGAAGCTTACTTGCAAGAGCTTGGTTACATAATTTTAAAATGCAAAATTCTTCCAATAATAAAAGAAAACTAATGTTTTGCATTTGGAATGTTAAAACTGGCAAAAATGTATTTATTTGTGCTCACCAATTTTTTCATCCAGAAGTGTAATTTTCCCTTGAGCAACTTGCAGTTCATATTTTTTCTTAACAAGGCTTTGCTGAGCCTCTGAAAGACTCTGTTCTGTCTTTTCATTTGATAAACTGGAAAAGCAGAAGCATTAAACAGGAGAATTCAGACATTTACATATTAATATTTTTTTCCATTCTGAAATGTCAATAAACTTGTAAAGGTTAAGAAAAAGCAACATTTTTCTGTATGTTTTAGACTACTTGGGATATTTTATTAATGTTAACCTTAATTTCTGCATATTACAGTCTGAATATTCTTATAAAGAATCACAGAAAAGTACAAAGTATTATTTACAACAAGTGTTGAGAACTTCTCAAAAATTATGAAAACAAAAACCCTCACTTGGGACATACATTGGAAGGTCTGACCTATTTCAAGTTATACCCAAGTCATCTGTTTAAATCATGTAGCAATATTAATGATTCTAGCACCCAGTATTACCACCAATTAAAATCCAGCAAAAAAAAATAAATAAAAATCCTACAACACCCAACTGGTGTTGACTACACCAGTCACTTTTAAGGACACATAGGTTTAAGAGAGTGTTTGCCTAACTAAATTGTATTTCTGGAAATACAAGAGGAAAAAGTCACAGTATCTTCTCTT